AGGGAAAGACTCCAAGCTTTTTTCCTGTGACTCCATAGCCACAATTACCATGATTAACATAAATAAGAGGATCCAAGTAAAGTTAATTACAGTAATCCACAGTTCTCTGCAAAAGGGTACTTTTGCAGTTTTTTGCTTCTAAGAATAACACTTATTCAAAGAGGTTTTCCTTTTGACTCCTCAGGAATGTGTATTCCTGTGGAAAAACGCCTTTACACTAAAGGAAAAATATCGATTTGCATTTCTGAATGTGTGTACACAAAGCAAAATGTGAAATTGAAGATTATTTTTAGATTCAAGAGTGGAGATCCGAGCACCAAAAGAAGTAGACATTTTCTTTTTCTGCTTCTCAGGTTCCCACATAGTCCCGCTCTGAGTATGTTCTTCAGTTCTTTTTTTGTCATTAAAGGTGGAGAGCAACAGTTTCATTTGCCAGTCTGTGTTAGATGAGTGAATCAATATACCGGTTTTGAATTACCAAAATACACCTTTTATTAGGACTGACAAAACCAAATTTGTTTAAAATGTTTCGCTCCCTGCAAACAGCATACTGTTTTCAAGCAGTGTGTTATCTGGGAGGAAATTTTGAATCGGGATATGGATAACCGTGTTCCTTAAGTTTCTTCCCATGGCCAGACCTGTTGGTCTTTTAACCAGAGACTTTGCCATTTTGTCTTTTGTTTGATGTGCTTGACTCCAGTGTTCCAACGTGTAATGTCAACAATGTTCAGTGCTAATAAATTGTATGTAATCTAAGCACCTGATTCTTCCAGTACTTTTACCACTGCAGCTGCTTAACTATTGCCTTCTCTGGCACCAGCGGTGCCTCTCCTTGCTTTCTAAACAAGATCTGACACTAGTCATACTGGTGTGAGAATTGGAGTGGCGTGCCAGCTGGTGCATTCTAATTTGAAGATCCCACTGAAACAAATCTTCCATTTGCATAGGACACTAGCAGGAAACTGGCTTTCTAGTCACTGTCTACTCAGGCACACTGACGTTAGCAAACCTGTCTCCATCGCTTCACAGTGCAGAAGCCACCGAAGCTAAAAAGCATATGTGCATCAGCGTGCAATTACAGTAGTTTCTGTATGGTGCTTTCCACTGTCTTGAGTGGATAATGAAAGGGAACAAGACAGGTTTAATCAGCTATGGCCAAAGCTGGAAGAAATGTTCAAAGCACAAGAATTCTCAAGTTAACATGGAAGTATGGCAAGACTTCCAGGGTGCTGTTGAGGTAGATGGACTGAAATGCCATGAGATTTCTCTCCTCTTTCTGGACACCCAGTTCTTGATTTCAAAGACTACCTTTGAAAAGGCAGAGAAAAATTACCTGTCCTTGTTATCTCAGAGAAAGCTCTGTCTAAATCTCTTCCTGTCTCCAAAACAAGAAAAAGACATGTGCTTTCTGCAGTGCAGCAGGTGCTTTGGAAACTCATGACTGAACACTGTGACTGGGAACCTTGGACAATATTTGGTGTTGTGGTAACTTAGATTTAAACAGACTTATCTTTGATGGTAATGCTGTATCAGGATGCAGTCTTGACCTGCAGCTTGCCTTTGAAGGAGGCATTCTGCAGCTCTTGTCTCTGATACACCTGCCTGGTGTGGTTCTTTCTGAAAAGACAGAAATTGTTGATCACATATGGTCCAGCCACACTGATTCTCTACTTTTTTGTTGAGGCATGTGACTGTTTAAAAGCAGAATGTGTGTTTGGCACTGACATTGATGACAATCCATTTCTCTTCATATTAGCTCTAGGTATGAATGTAAACAGTCATCTACAAAGCAAAATCCCCTTAAAATTTGGAACATTATTCTGGTAGTATCCTTTGGACACCAGCTTTAAGTGTTGTCTATTAAAAAAGTTGGGGATCCTGAAGAAGGTGACAGCAATAAAATACAATGTTTTACTCTTTTCTAGGTGTCACTCTTACACTTAGATTAGAATGGGCATGCCACAAACACAATTTTGCACAAATTTAATGGAAACCTTTTCTATATTAATTTAAAATAAGAATTGAGACAGTGTGAGGAATATTGATAGATGGTAGGAACAGAAGGATATACTTTAAATAGAGCATCGCTCTATTGTTTTCCTGCCATGCTCAGCCCTTCTCCCTGCCAACTACAGTACTTCCAGGATATCTCCACCTGTTTAGAAGACAAGAACATACAACTCTCTCCTCTTTATTGATTGCAGTTGTTTTGCAGTTGGATGGCTGAGTATGCCAGCTATTCAACCATATTGCATTTATTCTGCATGAGACACTATAAAATTTATACTGGTTTTAGACAGAATACCTTGATACAATCTGTAGAATTATTTATTACCTTCCAAAACTGTCTGGGTTAATTTTTTTCTGGTGACCCTACAACTGCAATCCACACAAGACCTTAGCAAAGAAAAGAAGGGCTAACAAAGTTGTGTCTCTAACGTCAACATAATTCTGTATGAAATAATTACTCTCCAGAGTATGAGGCCTTAGCCACTGAATATCACATTTTCTTATCATGGATAATTTTTCATTAATTCCTATTCTTTCAAACTCTGGGTTGAGAGCATAACTTATTTCCTAAAGATAACTTTTACTTGCTTTTCTTGCACTAGGCATGACACACTCTTGTTCTTAGGGGCTTGTAGAAACTAAATTGCTGAGAAAAAGTGTGAAGAGAAAGGAAAACTGGAAACAACACTTTAAAAGTGCTAAAAATCACAAGATTCCTATTAAGGGAGATAGACCAATCTCTCATTTGATGTATAAAGGCAGATAGTTACTATTCCATTGATGGTATCTAGGAACAGTTTGGAAGTCTTCAGAACCTTCTGCTCTAACTGTTGTATTTGCATCTTGTTATATCTGAAGTATCAGCCAGGATTTAAATAAATCTATCTGTTTTTTGTCTCCTTCCTGTTTCACTTTAACCTGCACTATCTCTTGCTAGCTATGGCACAACTGACAGAATTTACAGAAATTCATGCCATTACTGCTGTATAGCAGGATTCAACTGCACTTCTGCACTTGCCTGTAATTCCTCTGTGAGTACTGCTCTGACCACTTCATAGGCTGCAATTCTAAGTTAAGCAATAGAACGTTTAAAGTTTATCTGTGTGGAATCAGGGGGAAAAAAGAAAGGAAGGTCCTTGATGAATTTGGATCTTCCAAGAGAGTTCAGAGAGTATTAGCTTGAAATAAGACAATGAAGGGCTGATATTTTGTGGTGGTTGCAAGATTTGACGTTGTTAGTCCTTATTGCCAGGTGGCTTGGCAAAAAGTTGAACTGTGTAATATTTGTAACCCATGTTAACGAACACATTTCGTTTTGTGTTTGGCCCAAAGTTCTCTAATAAAAGGCCTGTCACTTGCTTTCCACCTAGGACTGGCATGCAGCATCGTTTCTGTAGTCTATAGACTATTATTGCAACAGTCATGGAATTGGAGAAGATTGCATTCTGTCTCTTGCAAGGGCAAGGTCTGCCAAGGTTGTATCAGTGGAAAGACTTTGATAGTGGGCTGCATAAATCCAAGAGCCAAGACACAGTCAAGGAATATGTGAAATGGGTGATAATTATTATACAACTTAAAGAAAAGTAATTATTTGTGGAGCAGTAGATTCAGCTGCAAATTAGAAAACCTATATAAAACATTTTGAAGTAAAAGATGTCTGGATAAAGGTTTATACTAAATATCTCTGTACTTCAAAGAACTTTTCTCCAGACTGGTTTGGAGAAGAAAACACGTGAACAGTACAGACAAGAAACACAGAGGAGGTGGGGGCATCATATGAACAGACAGATAGGTCTGTTTCTTCTTAGGAGAATGTAAGCTACCCGTCTGAGAACACCTGATTGTTTGCCACTGTGCCTTTCTTAGGACTGCGTTTACCTCAACCAGGTACAACATCTTGACCAAGGCCTTACCGAACAAGGTGCTGGCACCTGTTCTTACAATGGATTTTATTTCCTAGATGCCATCTGACATTGTGGCCTGTGTCACTAAATAGATTCTGCTTTCTAGAACTGCTACAGCTTAATAGTGTAGCTTTAATGCTTTCCTCAAGTACCAATTAGTCTGTACAGCCGGCTCAAATCTATGTCCAGGGCTGGCTGAAAGGATTAATCTTTTCTAAGACCACAGCTGTAAGAACTGTTGGGGGCCCTACCCCTTTTCCTGATGTCTGGGTCTCCATCTGTGATGAATTAGGGAATTCCCACAGGGCACCAAGGCTTTGAGGCTGCCTGTCTCTTGGAGTCCCTCTCATTTTGGAAGTTCTCTCTCTGAAGGAGCCTTTAAGAGTACTTACACTGGTACAGAGGTGTTCTACTGGTTTGATTTGGAAACGTGAGCAAAGGAAGATCTTTGAGCACTTTTTAAACCTGTGCTGAATATTTCTCTTCATGGAGTCTTCCTTTCCTCTTCTTGGGCTCAGCAGTTCATTACAGTTTATTTGGGAGGGTGGTATATGTTTCCTATTTTCACTCTTCTGCTGAGGATTTGTGACACAAAGCAACCCACATACCTTCCCTGGTTCCTTTCCCCACTTTTAAGATGAAGTTAGTGTTTGTAAGCATAGATAGAGATGTTTAATTTATAAGTAGATGGGTATGTACGACAACTCTTACATAGATAAGCATGGAGCCTGCCTCCATCTTCACAATAAAGAAGGTCAATGCAGTGTGTATAGTCACTGCTTTCTTCTTTTTTGCAGATTTTTATTGCATTTGGAGAAGTGTTTTTATCTGTAAACTGGGCTGTTGTGACAGACATACTGTTGGTAAGTGCTGTGAAACTATTTCCTTATTTGGAATTTTTCAGCTTTTCTCAACATAATATTGTTTATAAGCTTGCGTCTTGGTGGCCAGAAGGACCTCCGCCTTTTAAGAAGAGATGAATGAACTCTTACTAAGAATACCCTGCTAACATTAGGGATATAATCATGTGCCACAATGTACTGCTGTGCAAAGATGCCAGTAACAATATAGGTGTGGTGGTGCAGTAGCAACCTCATTGTAAGCCCAGAAAGGAGATGTACTGATTTGGACGAAACTCATGCAAGTGGAACTGTATTGTGCTGCTGGTACCCACAGTGGTTTGGATTTTCTGTACGGCTTTGTGTTGTTGGATGTCTGCCAGAAAATGGTCTGTACCAGAAAGAGGGTCACTTTCTGTCTATAATCAGAGATTTTCTATTTGTGCTCCAAAGGTTTGAAAAGATGATCCAAATGTGGGAAAGTCAATATTCTGTAAACTAAAGTTATTGAATCCATTACAGTTCATCATTCTGTGAACTGTTAGGAAGTTCTCTTATCCCAGCATACAGTGCAGATGAATTCCAGCACTTGCAAGTCAAATTCACAAGTGGTGCTACACTGCCAAAGCGTTAGGCAAGCGGCAATGCTTATGAGACTCTTGAGGATTCCAGGACTGACACCACAAGCCCAAAAAATAGCAGTGCATTATTTCATTTGAATTCTATCATCAGTAACTTTCTTTAGAAAGGAGTGATGTGAAAAGCACACATCTTGTGGCACAGTTAGCCTAGGTATCAATGAGCAGCCAGTTCTTTGCGTCATTGCAAAGACTTTTAGGGTTAGTCATTTTTTAATGTACTTGAGCTTTTACTCAGAGGAAAAATTTAGCAACCTTTGGTTTATGCTGTAGCTCCACAGTCACTAATCAGTGTCTGTGTAAAACATGGGACAGATATTGTTACTATCACTGAACTATGCAGATCATCACAGTCTTATGAAGTAGTTTATAAGACTTTTTTTTTTTTTTGAAATCCATAGTATGAACAAGCTGAATATAGTTTATCAGTCAAATAAGCAAGGAAATGGTCTACCTGGTTTGTATCTAGTAATCAGACTGCAGAAAGCTGATTTAAGTACAAAAACCAGAGATACTAAAATGATTGACGATCCTTTTGTTGTTACCCATGGGCATAAGACAAAGCATTTAAATTGGCACTATCCTTTTCTACAAAGAGCAGAGTACTGTATCACAAATGAGACCCAGACTCTCTACTTTGAAGAATCTTCCTCTGTGGGATCACTGTGTTGCAGAATGGTGGGTGTGACCATAACCCAAACATTTCAAGCAGGATGCTACCTGAGAGACAGAGAGTGTCGAGACAAGTGTGGCACAGGCAAAATGGTGATGCAGTTGGTACTGATAGAAGGCAAAGTAGGAAAATTGTGTAAAGCCATCAGAACAAGTGAGAGAAGGCACAAAGGTAAGGGCAAAGCAGAACAGAAATCTCTGACTGTTTCCCACCCTCAGGCTGATGATGGAAAACCAGTAGCTGAAGAGAGCCTAAGCAAGAGTCACATAAGCATCTTCCATTTTATGTAATAGCTTTTCATTCTAAGGGAGCTCAAGTCTATTTGCAGATTGCTACTGCAAACTCCACTGTCATAATGAATCTTTCACATAAGAACTACAGTGAATGCATTAATATGTAGCACAACATGCAGTAATGCACAATAACATGTCACAAGAGTTTAGGACAGTAAAGAAAACTTGCAGCCTGTGGCTCATGTGGAACACAGCTGCCTACAAGGCTGTCATCATTGCTTGCTACCACAGGATCTGAAAATTTACAGCTGAGGTTTCTGTCACTATGGACTTAGTCGCTCAGATATACAACTTGATTGGTATTCCTAACAGCTAACTAAAAACGAGTGGTAGAAAAGCTGAGCAGAGATAAAAGTATCTCTATTACAATCTTCCATGTAAAAGGATGTGAAAGGATATAGCCAAATGCTGAGCACTGTCTAGTGACAAAAGGGACTAGCTGTGAAGCACTATAGAACTCTCCTTCCACTGACTTGACCTTGCCTTGTTTGACATGAGCCTGTTTATCCTCACACTTCATAGCTTGAAGAATCTTTCTTTGCATTCTGATTGAGATGAAGGAATGAAACAACTTCTATTTCATGGTTCTTCAACGAAGCACTACTGATATTGACTATTGCGTTATGTTCTCAAGTTACTCTCATGGTACTGCTCTCTACATGTCAGTTTTCTGCACTCTGGAATTTTAATTTAAAAAAAAACAATTGCAGTCAGCATTAATGAATTGGTTCCCTGCTTAAAACCTCAGCCAGCAGCAAGAGGGTTTTGTTTCTTCTTTGACTCTCAAAGAATGGTCAGAAACAATTATTCTATAAGACAAGAGCTGTAGCCTTGAAGCAGTGAACAGGTGCAGAAAAACTATTACTGGTCCAAAATGAATTTTTTTATTAGCTTCTATTTCAGTTTATTTTGAAATCACTGGGTTTTTGCAACAGAACCAAGTACGATTACAATTAGCATTCTTTTTACATCAGTTGAGGCACCATTGAAGGGTTTTTTTAAAGTTTCTCAATTTACTTTTCTTTGAACTCCTACATCTGCATTTCAGTTCTCTCCTCTGTAATTGTTAAAGAGGAAGGGGACATCACTGAATTAGATACTGTTAATATATGATGGGGAAAGTAGGCAGGTGATTACCGTCAGCTCTTTCCTTCAGTTCCTTTCTGAACCCAAACTACAAAGTCCGCAAGGAGCTGTGCTTTCATTCAGTTCACTCACTCAGGTACCAGCTTGCTTAGGGAATGCTGCATCATATTGCAGCCTGCAGGAAGTCTGTTAGGAGCACCATTGCCATATCCTGGATCCATGTAAATCCAGAGGAGGAGGAAGTTCTTGTCTCCCAAGTGACTGATGCCCCTCATTTGTATTTATTTTAGAAACTTTTGGGTTTAGATACAAGCAATATTGCATCAATTGGCAACAAGTGGGAATGTGAAAAGTTTGGCAGAGCAGAGCTCTGTAGTGGAGTGTTCCCCTGAGAGCAGACATTCAGTGTATTACCATGAATGTGCTTTGGGTTGGATCTGTTGAATTCTACATGCTACTAATTGTTTTATCAGAAAAATGATGGAATTCGGTTGAATTTGTGGATGTCTGCTCATTCAGTGGCAATCTTATTTGGGAGTTGTGTTTCATCCTACTGAAAACCCATGGGTTCAGTGTATTACTGCTATTACATTGACTGAAGGGTGCCATAGATAACGACAGCAATTTATCTTTTTGCATTGTTTCCCATGTGAACTGGTAGGATTTCTGACAATGTGGCTGGATTTGCTAATGTATGTTCTTATTTTGCCATGAAAATGACTTTTCTTTCTTCCCACGTGGCACTATTAGCCAGACAGTGTAGCTAGGAATTCATTTATCCTGCGACCTGTGGAGCTGAAGACAAAGGGAGATGCTGACTGAATGATAAGGACTTTCGACCTTTGTAGCTAATACATCAAGATGCATTGCATGTAGCAACCTTTGTGCCTCTTATTCAGCTGTAAACATGAAGGTATCTACTGTACAACTACAGTCATAATATGCAAGTGGAGAAGTGCTGTAGCTGCCTTGCTTACAATACGCTGGCTTACTGGGAGGCTGTACATGAAGTGTCCCTTATGAAATATGTTCGCCATCTGTGAGGTAATGGGACTCTGTCTTTTAGGTTTTTGGCAGCTAATAGCGTAGGAGATGCTGGAACTGGAAGCTAATATGCAGTTTGGGAAGGCTACCAACATGTCCCCATCTTTGTTTGGAAGTGCCCTGGGAGGTATAGGAGCATTTACTAGCCTGTCTGTTCCATCTGCTTTTTTAGCTGACAGCTCTGTCACGTAGTCTGCAGGATGATCTCTAAAACCTCCAGAAACAGCACGACAGGGTTTGCAACTATGTATGTTTGGGGCACCCTGCTTATCTGTCAAGGCATCTGGAGTGGGGTGTCCTAGGAAATGACAGCGTGTAGGATGTCATCTGCATCGTTGATATGGCATAACTGGGCAGTCACTGTGGACAGGCAGGATGCTATGGCTATTTCAAAGTCCCTGGGTGTGGGAGTGTTTGGTTTCTTCTTTTCCTAGTGAATCCTGCAGTGCCTTGAGCTCTTGCATATGGTTTCCATTATGCAGAAGAACCTGAATAATAGCACAGGCAGAGTTTGTATGAGCCTCGTAACTATAGAAAATGCCCTATCCTTCTCTTCCATGTTTCTTGTTACAGCTTTGTTCCATGTGTCTCTTGTAGTTACAGATGTGAGATATCAAATAAATGTCGTAAGGAAGTGGTGCAGGACACTGAGAGAGCGAAAGTGCATTTATCTTTTCTCATGCCTGCAATGCCCACAATACCTTAAGTGCATAACAATATTTGATTTGTATTTCTCAAACAGCCTGTCATTATCACTAAAAGAAAAGAAAACTGAGTCTAGGACAGATGACATAATATCCTTGCAGAGCCAAGAACTGACGGTGTCCAGTCTAGTACAGTCTGTCATAGCAAGGTCTACTTCCCAAGCGCAGAGTTTTCTACTGTAGTTTCTTTATCTCTCTTGCCGTACGAGAGCCTGTTCCCAAAGTGCAGATGCCTAGCTGGTACTGCAGGCAGGTTCTGAAAGAAAACAAAACTTGGGTAGACTGCATGCCCTCAGTCTAGGCCAAAGTGCGCCATGACCAGAGTGAGGAGGAGCTGTTGGACTGTTCCTTCATCCCATGGAGGACAAAGATTTCAGCTTCCAGATCAGCCAATCTCACATGACTCTCTTCTTACACTAGCAGGGTCTGGATGCAGTGTGATGGCAACATGACATTAAAGTGGTTTACTGTAACTCTGAAGAGGTCTCCAAGACACCCCTGTTTTAATATTTCTTATTGTTGAAGCACTCTATCTAAATATTCCTAATGAAAAATAAATGTTCCATCCATGGTTAGAAATATCTAGTTTGGAGAGACTAGGAATGGAAAGGAACACAAGCTAGCTGCATGTGTACAAAGTAAGGAAGGAGGTTGTGTCTTTTGGTAAAACTGCATTGTATAGAGTACTCTTACTGGATGCAAAGATGCTGTTTTAAGATGTCGAGTGATTTGTGTATCCAAATTTGTGGACATTTCTGGCTAAGAGGGGCACTGCCAATGTGGACTGGTTCTTCACTGAAACTGGTTGCAGTATGGGGTAAGGAGGACCAAAAGGCTCCTGCTGCA